GTAAAAAAAGGTACAAAGATGTTCTTTTAAGGGTACTGCTCCAGTGACAAGTTGCTGTGCCCCAAAAGGTACTATTTGGCCTCTTTTTTTCTGTGTGGCCTGGATGAGTGTGAGATTTCCTGGCCTGAAATTGCATCCCAGTCCGGCCCTGACTGTAAGGGTAGGTTTAGGGTTGAGGTAGGTGTAGACTGTAATAAAACACAATCTAATAGGTAGAAAAAAATATTTATTGTTGGTTTCCTGTAGCTGTATCCCTTCTAGCCACAACCGCGAATATAAGACATAATAACTGTATTTGCATTACTGTAAGAGTAGGTTTAGGGTTGGGGTAGGTGTAGACATTAATAAACCATAATTTTACAGGTTACTATTTTCGTTGTCAAATTGTAGCCTACTACCCACTGTTTTAATGTGAGGTAGCAAAATCTGACAGGGTAGCACAAATCGACAGAACAGGTGTCAATCGGTGCATCTCTAATCTTGGGTTATGTAGTCAATTAAACTTCAGAGCTTTTCATTTTCACTTGTGAACCTGAAAAGCTACTAATGCTATTCAAAGTCTATTTGAAGTTCTTTCAGCATTTAAACATAATTTCTGTCACAATGAAGGCTGTACAAATCTTCTTTAAAGCCCTGGTGCTGTCATAATACTGTCATAATTTATGATAACAAACCATTTTTTTCTTCTCTTTTTCTTTTGACTGGGAGAAAAAAAGAATTCATCAGCAGCTTCATTCAACAATTTTGTGGAGTGCAGTTTCTGTGTATAAAAGGCAAGTTTATAACTTAGTTTTTACACAACTTAAAAGTGGCTGACTGCATTTTCAGTACACTAATTAAAATCAAACTATATGGCAAATCACAACACAGGAAATTGTATTTGTCATGCTTAAATCAAATAAATAAAAACTGTGCCATCATTTACTTACTTTTATAAAAAGATATTTTGAAGAATGTTTCAACTGTTTTTATCCATATCATTGGGGTCCAGTGACATGATGATGATGAAATGACTATAACATTTTTAGTTTTTGGGTGAAAAAAAAAATCAGGTTTAAATTTAAAAGACAATTATTTATTTGGCTCTCAGGATGTACACTGTAAAAAAAATGTTCAAAGTTCTAAATGAAACAAAGATTTTTGCAGTTATAAGACAATACTATTTCAGTCTGTCTACTTCCAAGTTTCACATTTAATTCACTGTTTTACTTGTTTCTTTGTAATTATTTGTGAAATTTACTAGCAATTCCTGAGTGAAAATAGTTTTTAAAGGGGTCATATGATGCTTTTTTTAAAGATCATTATTTTGTGTATTTGGTGTAACATAATATGTTGACATGCTTTAATGTTCAAAAAACACATTATTTTTCAAATACTGTACATTATTGTAGGTCCTATATGCCCCACCTCTCTCAAACGCTTAGTTTTCTACAAAGTCCCTCCTTCCGACAAGCGCAGTCTTTCTCTGATTGGCCACCTGACCCATTGCATTGTGATTGGCCGAACACCGCAAGCACTCGTCGGAAATGTAACGCTCCTTACCATAATCGCGAGCTTCATCTTTCAAAATAAATGTAAAGACAGAGCCCAAAAGGGGAACAGAGTCGCGTGACAGACACAGTGATGAAGCTGGTATGTTTGCAGTACACTAGCCACGGTTAAGACAGCTGACTCCACTGTGATGTGATGTGACCCTGTCTCTCTCTCTCTCTCTCTCTCTCTCTCTCTCTCACACACACACACACACGTGCGCACACGCATTTGAACAGTCAATAGCAAATACTTAAACTAATAACAAAACAGTAGCTGATTCAGAAGCGCCAGATTGTCATAGCAAAGTCAGATTTACCTCCTCTCCTAGGTTCATGAAACGTTCGTCCATAAAACGCATTGCTGTTCTGTTGTAAGTCATCTTAAAGATTCCTAAATGCATCTACTTTCGGAAGGCCAAATAAAGTGCTTTTGCTTTCGCCTAGAAACACACAGCGTCTCCCTGACATGGCTGCTTCAACACTAACTGCGGTTACTGAAACCACGCCTTCTTTCTTTGCGTGCACATTTGGGTGGCATTATGCAAATATTTCCACATAGTGAGGTAGATATGTGGGGGCGTGTTAGAACAAGCCGTTTTAGGGGGGCGTGGCAGAGTCTTAACTTTGATAAAGAATATTTATTTGGTTTTGAGACTTTAGTCTTTGCAACTTCAGGGATCTTATGCACAATCAGCTTGTACCACTCCAAAGAGAAAGGAAAACTTGAAATCGCATCATATGACCCCTTTAAAATAAATCCTACACCATTTTTTCAATGTTTTTATGCAGTGTTTATAATGTCTGTAATGTTATTAACTCACAACAAAAAACATTAGCTCATCTCAGGCCAGTTGAATATTGAATTAACTCAATCAGTTCCAGATGAGTGGAGAACTGAAAGGGGTTTAAAAGGAGGTCAGCATAGTTTACAATAACATCCAGTGTCATTGATTTGTTCATGATTAGGTTGTGTTTATGGCTCAGCAGTACGAAGGGTCAATTTTGGCCTTGGTTGACTAAGTTTGTAAGCCACCATGAGGCTTTATAGGGTTCTCGCTGCCCCTTTCAGGTTTAGTCAATGTAAAGGAACACCCTAATGGCTGCTCTCAAATCAATGCTATCCTTAACAACAGAGCAACAAAATGAACAAAGCTCCGTCTTGACATGTTCTGATAGATCTAACTGGCATCTCTGAGCTCAGATCTATGGGTAATCCATACAGATGTGTGTGGGTGGTAAACGACACAGTGAAGAAAGACTTGAGCGTTTGCTTGCAGTCTTGTTAGTGCTGTTGAATCATTATGTTTTCCTTTTGTGCACAAGCTTTTGTCTCTCCTTCATTAAAGCTAAAATTCAGATGTTTTTCAGTATGCAGTAAAATGTAAGACTCAACTCTCTGTTCACCAAATGTACATCCAATTTCCACATATAATAACTATAACTATGTTTGATAACATTGTGAATGAATGTTGCAGTGGCAGTGAAGGCTAGAATAAAACAGCCTAGATTTCATCAGTGCAATACAGTGCTCTTGAAAAAAACACCATCGGAGCAGCTACACAGCAAAGATGTGATGAAGGGATGTGAGAATTAATTGATATTCATATTCTCTTATTCACAAAAGCCTCCATCTGACATTTATAAATGCCTCCATCCTTAGAGTGATGTAAAGATGTTGCATGAGTAATGAATATTGGTTATTTTCACTCAGTATTTGTAATGTGCCATTTTAACAACCGCCATATCAACACATTTAACACTTGTTTTTCAGAGCTAGTTTTCATCAAAGGAAACTATTGATATGATTTCTTACAGAGGCCTTTTTTCCAAGACTATTGCAAAAATTATGTGGAATTATCTTATGCTGTCTGTAAAATGACTGATTATTTTTCCATCTGACAGACATCTTGACAATCTGATTAACTACTGTATACCCAAAGTTGAATTACATGAAGTGAAAAGTCTTGAAATTGCTTTAGAGGTCTGATGAATCATATTTAATTAGTATATGAATGCTGCATATTTGCATAGCTTTTATGTGCCTATTTTAAGGACAGTCAGGGAAACTAAACTGTACTTCTTGAAAATAAGCTATGGTTTCCAATAGCAGACTAGAAACTGAATGTCTTGATTAATCTTGATGCAAAATCCAATGTGTCAATCAAAATCCAAGATGAATTAAACTGTACTTCACAAAAATAAGATATTGTTTCGAATAGACTAACTGAATACCTTGATTAATCTGGATGCAAAATCCAATGTGTCAATCAAAATCCAAGATGAATTAAACTGTACTTCACAAAAATAAGATATTGTTTCGAATAGACTAACTGAATACCTTGATTAATCTGGATGCAGCAAAAATTCATTCAGAGATGAAATGCACAGCTCAGATAGATCAAATATGTTCTTCCTTTAGGTGTCTAATAAATTACTTCATAATTGTCTCTGTATGCAAATTTTTTTCACAATACAAAACAATAGGCATTTAAATGTAATGACCCTCAACGCTGCACTAGATTCAGTAATCTAGCTCTAGTGGGAAGAAGCATGACACTGAACTGAATGTGCAAATTACTGTTCTCATTAAAGGGGTCATATGATGCTTGCAGTACACAAGCCACGGTTAAGACAGCTGACTCCACTGTGACGTGACCCTGTCTCGCTCTCTCGCGCTCTCTCTCTCTCACACGCGTGCGCGCACACACACACACACACTTACTTAAGCTAATAACAAAACAGTAGCTGATTCAGAAGCGCCAGATTGTCATAGCAAAGTCAGAATGACCTCCTCTCCTAGGTTCACGAAACGGTCATCCATAAAATGCATTGCTGTTCTGTTGTAAGTAATCTTAAAGGTTCCTAAATGCATCTACTTCCGGAAGGCCAAATAAAGTGCTTTTGCTTTCGCCTAGAAACACACAGCGTCTCCCTGACATGGCTGCTTCAACACTAACTGCGGTTACTGAAACCAT